ACGATTCACGGACTTTACTTAAGTCACTACCGCGCTTGACTCAATTGTCCGTCTCTATCTCTGCCTGTCTTCAATTATCTATCCGTCACTTCTCGTCGGTCTTATATATACGAAATAGAGGGCGTCTGGTAAACACTCGAGCCTTCAATAACGTTCTAGATACTCATTACGTGTTACCAGCGTCACGTGACTTCCGCTGTCGTAACAATATTCAGTATATTATTATTATAAAATATTACGCACATATATATATATATATATATATAGGGATGTACAAAAAATTGAGTAGTTGTTATACGACTGGCAACATCTTTTATTATTTCCTCCACGCTTCACCTAACGGCTTTTTAAAGAGATTAACAATATAATAGGCCTAATACTAATGTTTTATGAAAAGTGTAATTTTAATAATTTTTCGCCAGCTTGTAGTTGGATTAAATCACTTATATAAACAATGTTCCGACCACTACTGTGTTTGTTGTATCCTAGCCGGCCTGAAGAGCTCTGGATTGAGCAAAAGGCGTCGTCAACAAATGTATATGACGAATACAGTGTGGTTGGAATACTGTTATTATACACTCTTCTAAATCTTGAAAATCCATAGAGACTAGATAAATAATGTAGTGTTTGAAAATGTAATAGGCCTAATATTAATGTGTTACAAGTATAAAATTAACAATGTGTTCTTAAATATTGATATACACGTACACACCTTACCAACAGTATGCAGTTTGTTTAGTAATTAAAATAACAACAATATAAGCATATAAGGAATATATATATACAGTAGAACCTTGCTGCGCCATTAAGGGCAGACTTTTTCAGTCTCTTTCCTTTTTTTTACTATTTGTAACCAAAATAAATCTTCCAATGACGATCACCTCAATATTCTGGACTTAGGGCAGTGTCTTGTCTATACGGGCAGTTATCTTTGTATGCATGCACGGCATAGCGTTAACTTCTAAACATCCCAGAAGGATGACCAATACTTGTTATGTTTATTGGATTTGCCCCGAACTATATACTGTAATAAATGTTTTTACAGATTCAAAGTGCAATCTTATTACTCTGGGGAATTCTCGTTGTAAACACTGTAGGGTACATAAGCTGATTACATGTTCTCGAAGCAGGGGTCAAGTCGGCTTATTTCTGTGCGCGTGCTTTGTTGCCACCGAGAGTATCGTATTATGGTGTCACGTAAACAGTCTAATGACACAGGCGGTGATTTGTTGCTTTATTTTCAGCAGATTTTTACTTCAGTGTTGACAGTAAAATAAACATAGAAAATAAATGGGTAATGTTTAGAAATTCAAACTCTGAATAGAAGTACTTTGAAACTTTTTAACCAATAATAGAGAAAAAATGGCACAGCTAATCCATCACCTGTTGACAACTCTTCATGTTATGACAACCCATGTCCGGCATACACCAAACAAAATTGATAGGGGTGGGGGCTTAAAATTCAGAAATTTAGTATGGTCAGTATAGGAATCGAGCTTTGCGTGGCTCATTTTTTGATATTAAGGGAACCTTGCTATAGAGGGCATTTGGAAGGGTGAGCTAATAGACTAAAATATATATGTTCCAACACATATACGTAATATGGTAAAACTCACAGACACTATATTGCACTTAATTTACCAATAAATAAAGGGAAATAAGCCATTTAAAGATGTCCTTCTTTATTAATTGATGGAGCCAAGATCTAATAAGGGGTGGCTATCTTTTGTCAAGATAACGGTGACATTTAATATGTATTAATAGTGAAATGGTGTTCAGTCTTGGGTAAGCCTATATCATCGCCATTTTACTAATGAAAAGTTGTCTCCAAACAATGAAACCTGGTTGAAATGATTAAACATATAAATTGAAAAATGATGGTTTGTTAAATTTTATGATAGTCTTGGCAATAATAATTAAAAAAACAAAGCCTGAACTTATACACTACGCACCTGAAACTTGAAGCAATGAAATGCTCGTTGCAATTGCGTGAATTTCGAAGTCCAATCTTTTCTGAGTATAAAATAATTCACTTCTTCAATAAATATTTATCTTGTAATGGAAACCAAGGAGGAAATGGGATGCATTTAAACACAAATATATTAATTGTTTCTAAACACAGCATAAATGGTCTAAATAAATATTTATAATTGCAAATATATTAAAGTTTAACATGTCAACTGAACAGTTATTTTTCCCAGTATACACATCCTGCAGTTTCTTAATAAAGTAGTTAGGCCTACATTATGTCATTACTTTGTGCTACTGTAGCAATACTTAAGTTACCGGTAATTTACTAATATATATATACATTTTTTAGTTTTAAGACACGGAGTTCAACGCAGTTATCAATGCTTACATAAGTATGGAGTTAAAAACAAAAGGAGATCGGATTACACAACATTCAGCTGTTTAGCTTGTGTTACATAAAATCGCATTTCAGGGTGAAAATATCAGTACCAAAGCTTTGCATCAAAAATAAGATTCGCATCCAGTAAATATTTTATTAATTATTTTTTTCTATTTTGTTCACAGATTTTTAATTGTTACACATAATTGTAATTTTCTGTGTTACCCAGTCATGTACTTTGGTTGATAATGGGAATGTTTACTTCCCCCCCCCCCCAAATGCCAGATATAAATTAAAATTAGATTTATATACAGACAACTTTCCACTTTCAAAGACTGTATATATATTTTTTCATATCACCCAGACTGCATCAAGATAGTTTTTGCTGAATTATACCATCTGTTTCAATGTCTCAACTTCATTTCTCGTGAAAGGACTTGCAGAGCTTTTTATTTTGTTACATCTCTGGTCGTTAGTTAATTTTCCGTAAAAATTCTTTTCGAAGAAACATTAGCGACACAAGTCCTTTCTTAAATAAAAC